TGGTCAAAATGCCATTTTGAGGCATCTTCGCACAGCTGGGTTAATGCTGCTCTGTGCCTGCTCAAAATTCAGTGTAAAGATGCAATGCTGGATAAAAGCCAGTCTAAATTATGCCTGCTCTGATCCATATAAAAGCGCACAGTTGTATTTGTTGTGTAAATGCATTCATACATTACATAATGCATGAATATCCAACATCAAACTGTCTACATCACAAACTTTTGATCGTGGTATCCCAAACATTGTTTCTATTACACGAGGCGCAACGTGATGTAAACAAACAATGCTTCATTCAATATCGTTCATGTCGCATCTTTATTGTTATGTCAGACCTTTCAAACATATTTGCATTACACTGCCTCCTTCACCAGTAGTGGTATGTAACATATTTTATGTTCACCTGCGAGTACAATTAGTTTACCTGCTGTTAACAGGATGATAAATCTAATACCAAATTGAGTTCATGACTTCTTCCACTTGTAACAGTGTTTCTGCTCGGTCCCCTCGCCGTATCGGCTCAAATGCATGAGAAGTTGCACTTATTTTGGGCTCAACAGTCCTTCCAAGTTCGTCTTCCTCCATTTCAAAACGTGTATGTTCAAACAGTCAAGAAATGCTTATATTTCTTCACTGGGCAACAGAGAAACCAGCCCCGTGACGTCACACGCTGTGGTACTGTGAGACAACGGTGCACTTGCTCCAAAAGCGATAACAAAACATCCTTTTTTCTTTAAAATGGTTACATTAATCGTGTTTGTTATATATTTTTTAATTAAAGTGGAAACCAGTTTACTAAATAATGTGAACCTGACTGACTGCTTCACTTCCACTCTAAACAGTCACCTTAATGCCACTTCAGAGGCGCTTCTGTACCACCTTTGCAGTGTAAACTTGGCATTAGTGAGGTATTAACAGCTAGTTTTGTCTTAATCGAGTTAATGCTGCGCTGTGCCTGCTCAAAATTCAATGCAAAGACATAAAGCAGCATAAAAGCCATACTAAATTAAGCCTGCTCTGATCCACCTCAGGCCCTCGTATAAAAGCACACAGTTGTATTTATTGTGTAAATGCATTCGTACGACTTCTGAGCAGCATTAAATAGTAACCTAAATGCCACTTCAGAGGCGCTTTTGTGCCACCTTTGCAGTGTAAACTTGGCATTACTGAGGTATTAGCTGCTAGTTATGTCTTAACTGAGTTAAGGCTGCTCTACGCCTGCTCAAACTTCAGCATAAAAACTTAATGCAGCATAAAAGTCAGACTAAACGGAGCCTGTTCTGACCCAAACACTTGCTGTAAAGACACCTAAATTCAACTTTAGAGGCACTTCTGTGCCACCTTTGCAGTGTAAACTTTGCATTGGTGAGGTATTAACAGCTAGTTTTGTCTTAATCGACTTAATGCTGTTCTTTGTCTTCTCAAAATTCAGTGCAAAGACAAAGCAGCATAAAAGCCAGACTAAATTAAGCCTGCTCTGATCCACCTCAGCATAAAAGCATACGTTATGCACTCGTACCTCATCTGCGCAGCAAACACTTGCTGTAAAGACCCCTAAATGCCACTTCAGAGGCGCTTCTGTGCCACCTTTGCAGTGTAAGTTTGCCATTAGTGAGGTATTAACAGCTAGTTAATGCTGCTCTGTGCCTGCTCAACATTCTGTGTGAAGACGCAATGCTGCATAAAAGCCAGACGGACTTATGCCTGCTCTGATCCACCTCAGCCCCTCGTATCAAAGCACACAGTTATATTTGCCGCGCAAATGCATTCGTATCACCTCTGAGCAGCATTAAACAGTCATTTAAAAGTAATAAACACTAAGCCACATCAGACTCTGACTGTAAATGACATTGCATGCAAAACTTCATGTTCTATTGTTTTACAGCATTAAATTTTCCCAGTCCTGATCTCGCTACTGAAATCCTGTCTAGTCAAGCGGGTTCATCTGTCACATGGCCAGCTCAGTTTCCGCTCACACTTTCTGTTTGTCCTTCATTCAACATGCATAATAAAACACGCAAGCCGCATAGAGCGACTGTACGGACGTCCGGGTAAACGACCCATAAACGCAAAAGATATTCCCACAGCATTCATTAATCAATCGCTGCCCTTTAGGACTAAATATCTCATCTCAAATCACACAGAAGTGCGCTTCAAGGACTTAAAAGTAGTAAAGTATGACATTGCACAAGGGTGCGCAGAGGTTCGGCCACTATGAGGATGCAAAATAGCCTGCAAATAAAATTAGAATGAAAATATAAGTGATTCAACAGAGCAGGGTTATTATAGTAAACTAAAACTAATACCATAAAAAAACATTTTCAATAGTTGAAATAAAATACTTTAATTGAAATTAAATAATATATTAAACTTTAAACTATTTTTTTTAAATTTTATTTAGTTGCCAACATTTCTGGTTTAACTGAATGTACTAAAATAACAATCTAAAATAAAAATGTATAAAAAAAACTATATAACATATTTTAAAAATAAAATAAAAAAAATAATTTAATTTAATATAAATATGTGACCCTGGAGCACAAAACCAGTCATAAGAGACGATTGTGAAATTGAGATTTATACATCATCTGAAACCTGAATAAATAAGCTTGTTATGATCGGACAATATTTGGCTGAGATACAACTATTTGAAAATCTGGAATCTGAGGGTGCAAAAATCTAAATATTGAGAAAATCATCTTTAAAGTTGTTCAAATGAAGTTCTTAGCAATGCATATTACTAATCAAACATTAAGTTTTGATATATTTACAGTAGGAGATTTACTAAATATCTTCATGGAACATGATCTTTACTTAATATCCTAATGATTTTTGGCATAAAAGAAATTAAAAAAACAATAACACTGCAAAGACAGAGTAGTGCTGCCATAGGTGTGAACCAGACAGTCCACACTAGATAGTCACGAGCAGCCTCGCAGAGGAGTGTCCAGTGTTTAAGGACTTCCTCATAGTTGACGATCGAGTGTGTGGAAGCAGATAATGCAGACGGACGATGACAGACTGCTTTACTCAGAGCTGCTGATGTCACTGCAGCCGCTGACGGCATCGTGAGAAATCAGACACAAACGAGAACCTCACAGAAAAACACTAAATGTGTTACATTTCATTCCGTTTTACACTTGAAAGTAATTAAGCCTTTTTGTTTGTATTGCTACATTATTTTCATGACAATGTCTGGATGCTTACATTTTGAGTTTGCTATTTTCTATTATGATTATTATTAGCCATTACTGTGCTAAATCATGAAAATGACTCCGTCCAGACATCTTTTTTTAAACAAGATATTGTATTAATATGTAAAAAAATAAAATAATAATAAATATATATATATATATATATATATACATATATATACATATATTAATCTGTAGTCATTGTAAAAATAAGTTTTGAATATTCATGGATCAAGGAATTTATAGACCAGGGTCTGAAATGCTGAAATAAACTGATTTTAAAAGATAATAAAAAATAAAAAGAGCCCAGCGAAGTATGAAATAACATAGGAAATGTATATGGGTAATTTTAGACCCATGTTGTGCATTAGAAGGGGTTCCCTTTCATGGGAACTTCGAACTGCGTCCTCTAGGGGTCGCTATGGGGAACGCCTCGTCGTGACCCGTGTCTGAAGCTCTGTTAAACTACTCTGTATTTCTCATGTCATAATATTTTTTAAAGCAAAAAATTTAATTTACAATATATAAAATGCATATAAATAAAGAATATATATTTTTATTTGTAGTTTTTATTTTTCAACATTAAAAATTAACATCAACATTATACATAAAATGTCCCTTTTTTGTCAAGAATATTATTTCATTTATAATATATATATATATATATATATATATATATATATATATGTATGCGTGTGTGTAAAAATATATATTTTTATATTCTGTTAAACTACTCTGTACAGTCATAATATTTTTTTAAAGCAAAAACTACAATATATAAAATAAATATAAAGAATATATATTTTTCATTTGTAGTATTTATTTTTCTTAATTTTCTTTATGCAAAATTGAAGGAATTTATAAATATAAGCCAATTTAAAATACTGGCATGATATATTAAAATCTACTTTTATACATAAAATTTCCTTTTTATCAAGAATATCATTTCATATATACATATGGTGTTAAAAATAAACTTTATTTTCTCTATGCAACATACTATTTATTATTTGCGTATAGGACAAAACTAACATAGATTTAAAATTCTACATGCACATTTTTAGAATTTAAGGAATGTAAAAACTATTCTGTTTCTGTCTTCACATCCACCTGTCAAGAACACGGCTTGATCACATTACAAACCAAAAATAAGAGATATTATTTTCTCCTTGTCGGTTCGAGTCGCAGTGTGGATTGAGTTTCAGGTCCGGAGGAGAGACACTCAAGTTTTTGTGCCACTGCGGTGTATGTGTGTGACAGTGTGTGTGTGTGTGTGTCTGTGAGTGAGTGTGTGTGTG